CTCTCCATTTTTCTCTCTATATTTCTCAAACTATAGGAGCCGTAATATACCCTCGTGCCCTCTCTCTCTCTAAACCAGAAATATAGGGGAGGCCCTACCAAACTGACATATCCCTCTCTCTGCGCCTCTCATACGAGAACAGAAGTGAAAGCCCTATCTTAATCGCAGTCACAGAGGTACGAATAGAACGGATTATTTATGTATATTTGGTTTGAAAACCCCGTGATGGGTTTGTAGTTATGGATTACTGGTTTGAAAACCCTATGATGGGTTTGCATATCACGTATTTCACTACTGTGATGGGTTTGTTCTAATGTTGTAAATCTGCGCTTTTTGCTATGAAAAACAGGATATGGGTTTGTTCTAATGCTGTAAATCTGTTTTTTGCTTTGCAAAATAGGAGATGGGTTTGTTCTAATGCTGTAAATCTGCGTTTTTTGCTATGAAAAATAGGATATGGGTTTGTATTAGTACTGCATTTTCAAAATATCAAGCCCAAAGATCGTAAATTTTCTATATCTACACAAAACGTGGCTTTAATCCAAATAATTGAACCAGAAATATAATTCTTTAATGAATAATGAATCCAATGAACCAGATTTCACAAAAATCAAAGATTTAATCTTCAATTGGAGGCCTGTGACCAAATGCCCAATATAAAATTGAAAAAAAAATACATGTTTCAGATTCAATTGGAGGGCTATTTCTTTTTCAATGGCATTTTTTTTTTTTTAATACATTAGTTGTCCCATTATCATTGTTATTTCAATGGAAATGCTTACTGTTAAAGTTCATATTATCCTTGATATTTCAATGGAAAAGTATACTGATGGGCCTGAATTTGACTCATATGTGCTCATCTTATTTAACTTTCATCACAATTTTTTAGGGCTATTTCTTTTTCAATGACATTGTTTTTTTAATTTATTAGTTGTCCCATTATCATTGTTATTTCAATGGAAAAGGTTATTGATGAAGTTCCTATTATCCTTGATATTTCAATGGAAAAGTCTACTGATAGGTTTGAATTTGATTTATATGTGAAGAATTTTGAGTATGTTGGGTACTTTATGCACAATGTGTGCTGTGATGGGCTGATGAACTTGTGAATTTTGGGTTATCTTAATGCCTGCTTTGGGGACTACGGGTTGTGGTTCCTAAAAGTGATTCTTGAGGTAAGGAGACACAGTAACATGCGCTTGATTAGCTATATCCCATAATGTGTAGGTATGCACTTGATAAGCTATGTGACATAATGTTTCCTCTAACATTGCTTTCTATGAGTGTACGAAGCAAGTCTAGGTTGTCTTTTAGTTTGTCTTCAACCTTCCCACATGGCTCTCTTATGTTACCGTCTTGTGCGAAGAGTGAGCTTACTCTATATCGCAATTCCCATAATATCCTGAAAGGAGATCAGGAGAATATACTCTCGGCTATCATATTTCTTATATTAGCATGGTTATATAAGTTGACATCCAAAATTATTTGGTTTGGTCACATATCCTTAATCTTTTTGTCCCACTAAAAATTACAGAAAACTAATAGAACATTTCTTAGTTGACTCGGGATTGTAAATTTTGGGTTATCTCACTGCTTGGTTTGGGGACTATGGTTTGTAGTTCCTAAAAGTGATTCTTGCGGTAAGGAGACACAATAGCATGTACTAAAATTTGCCAACCAAAAAGATTTGCTAATGAGCATGTCCATAGCAGTCTCACTAGTAAAACTCCTTAATCTGTTAGGCATGATCAACTTGTTGAAACATTTTTTCAAATAGATACATGAGTTCTGTGTCTTGACACTATTAATGTCATTTGTGAACTACAAAAGCACAAGGCCAATGATGTCTAATCTAGTGTTTAATGCTCATACACATTACTTTAGGAGTTAAGTTCAAATTAATAAGAGTGCACCCCTATTGTCTACAATTGCTTTGAATATAGTTGATCCTATAATGGAAGTAAGATTATTCAAATAGTTAACTAGGAGTGTTGTTATGTTTATATAAACGTTTGAATACATATATTTATGTAGTTCGTTTTTCTATGTAGGGTCAGTTGAAAAAATTAGGTGAATCACACCGTTTCAGACTGTGTGTCATCTCCCCCTTGCGCAATTGGAGACAACATGGGTGACACCAATTAGCCCATGGAGCAGGTTCCTTATCTTGTAACCCCTCCTAGAAAAGTTACAGAAATGCAAAATGGAGAACTTAACTCCTCAACCAAAGGCCTAGAAACAAATGTACCCCGTGTAGGAATGAATCTTTCTTCAGAGGAAGATGTAATTGACTATTATAAGGCTTATGCATTGGCCAAAGGCTTTGGTATCAGGTTGGGCACTACCCATAAAAAAGGTGAAAGGATTAATAGAGAAATTAATTGCTTTAAAGGAAGGATTTTGCAAAATGAAAGAGCAGGTCTGTGTAAAGAAACTCCCTGAATCAAGGTGTGGGTGTAAGGCTAAGCTAGGACTCAGTAGAAAAACGGATAATGAGTGGGTTGTGACTAGGTTTATTGATGATCACAGTCACAATCTAGTTATTCCAAGAAAAGCTTGTCTAACTCAGCTACTGAACATTGTCTAGTGCCACAAAGTTGATGATAAATTCAATGAGTACGGCAATGGTTAGGCCAAGACATATTCATAGAGCTAGCTGGAGGGATGGAGAATGTTACATATACACAAAAAGACATCGAAAATGAAATTACTAATGCCAGAAGAAAACTAAGAGGAGAAGATGGTAGTCTAGTTATGCAATGACTCTATAAATTGAAAAAATCGAACCCATCTTTTTTCTATAGATTGAAATTAGAAGAAGACGATCACATTCTCAGCATCTTATGAGTAGATGCCACATGTAAAGTTTCCTATCGATACTTCTCTGATGTGGTTACATCTGATACCACATACAAACCAAACACTTTTAGTATGTCATTTGCTTCCGTACTTGGTGTAAATTACCATTGCAATACAACCTTTTTTGGATTTGCATCATATTTGATGAGAAGGTAGAATCATTTGTTTGGGTATTTGAAAATTGGTTAGAAGCAATAGGTGAATAACAACCTAGTGTTATTATCACTTATCAAGACCTTGCAATTTCAGCTACAGTGAGACAAGTTTTTTACCAGAGTGAGCATCATTACTGTAAGTGGCATATGCTATCGAAAGGTAAAGAAAACTATGCCATGTCATGGGCATGCATCCTTCTTTTTCATGTACCTTTAGGAGTTGTATAGCTAGACCAACAGTAGAAGAATTTGAAAATGGATGGAAATTGATGATTGAGAAATATGAGTTGGAATGCAATGAATGGCTAAATAGGGTATATGGTTGTCACATGCAATGAGTAGATGCATACTTGATTGGCAGGTTCACAGCGGGTATTACTTTTACCCCAAGAAGTGAAGGGATGTACTTGACCTCCAAAACAAGCCTACGTTCATTATTGGAAATATGTGCCAAGGTGCAAGATAAGAAAGTACGAAAAGAAAAGGAACTCGACTTAAAAGACATTACAACAACTCCAATCTTAAAAGCAACTTCTTTATTTGAGTCACATGCATCAAAAATCTATACTCAAAAGATTTTTAAGATATTTGTGGAAGAGGTTGCCAATTGTATGAATTTGATGAGTGAGTTAGTTGATGAAAATGGACAACTTGCCACTGTTAAGGTGTCAAATATGGGAACCAGATCTAGATCATACTTAGTGGAATTCAATCCCCATGAGAAGAGGGCTAATTGCAATTGTCACTTATATGAGACGATGGGTCTTCTTTGCAGGCATGTGTTGAAGATTTTAATGATGAAAAATATTTTTGAAATCCCTCCACAATACATAATGAGACATTGGTCAAATAACGTAAAGAGGGGGGTTTTTGTTGATGAAAGAGGCAAAGAACTTCATGATACATCTGCACTACCACGCTCCATTCGATAAAGTGACATCATGCAGGCTGTTCGATACCTTGCTCAGCGTGTGTCAAAAAGTGTGGAGGTTCAAGAATTTGTAATATCTTTAATACACGATGATATCATAGAGGTTAACAGTAAATTCGGTTTTAAGCGACACCCACAGGTTGACATTATGAGCCATGTCAATAATGAGAAGAGTGATACTAGTTGTAGTGACACTCCAAATGGAAGTTACAATTGTCAGAATGTTCTTGATCCTCTACGAGCACGGGCAAAGGGACGGCCGACAAATGCAAGAAAAAAAGCTCGAACAGAGGGATGGAAGCCAACGGAGAAGTCTAGGAAATGGGCAGTTTGCCTGGGCAGTGGGCATGACATAAGAAATTATCCATCATTCGCTATTGAAATGTAGTAATCCATACATTTAGATTCTTTTGATTTTTAATTGTATAAGCTTTTCAATCTAGATGTATTAGCATTTCCATATGATGTTAGTCATTATGAATACATTATGAAATGCTAATATTGCAATTTCTTTTCTTACTATAGGGTTATTTCCAAGGTCCGTCGTAAGATTCAGTCTCATAAGAACGTGGGACATGAGCATTGATGGTAAGCAACATTATGTATTATGCATGTATGTATGAATTAGTTTTAAATATTTTATGTACTCATGGTAAGCAACATTATGGTAGGCAGCATTAGAATTTTCTGGTACGCATGGCTCATAATGGATCTTCATAACTCCACACGATATCAAGTATAAACTAAAATTTGTATGTCTATCATTCTTATGTATTTTAATCTATGTTTGACCTCTCCCTCTTTCTTAAGAATTTAATCATTGTAACCTTTCTCTCTAAAGATTTATCTCTCTCTCTCTAAATACCCAACAGGTCCTCAGTCTCTCTCCATGTGTTCCATGCTATTATCATTGTGCATTTTGGTAAACGATCAACACTATTCTCTTTTATTTTAGTTTGTAATAGATCAAGAATATACTTATTATTGTAGGTTGAAAAGATGCTCAACAGAAGATGCGGAAAATTTTTGCCAAAGATTCAAGAGTCTTTTTTTGTTACACGCTCCTTGCTATAGTTCAAGAGCTATTTTTTTTTACATGCTCCATAGTTGTGATAAATGTGGTGATTGTGTTGTATAAAAATGGGGCAGTAAAAAGTCATTTTTTTGGTAAAATTGAGTTTTGTAATGGATATGTGTGGTGAATATGGTGATTGTGTTGTATGGAAAAGGGTACAGCAAAGAATCATTTTTTTGGCAAAATCCAGTATTGTAATGGACATGTGTGGTGACTGTGGTGATTGTGTTGTATGAAAATGGGGCAGTAAAGAGTCATTTTTTTGGTAAAATTAAATTTTGCAATGGATATGTGAGGTGAATATTGTCACAGTCAAATATGAACTTCATCTAAAAATACTACATTTTGCAAATTGATATTCTTTCAAAGCTCCATTTATTTGGATGCCCTATACATGTCCGAAATTTATGAAATTTTTAATGAGCTCCCCAAGAAAACAATAGCCTACTGCAAATTGCAACAGCTGAGACACTCCTTGTTTTGGATTTATTTAGCCCCCTTAATGTCATCAAAATTGCTTAAAATGTATACATAAGATGCCAAAACATTCTTGTATTCACATGAAAAAATTGGTTTGGAATGGAGACCATGAAGGTAACCGCTTCAAAAACAGGGTTTTGGTATAATCCAATATTCTTATACAATATGTGGTGAATAAGGTGAATTTCATAAAATACAGGAATATGTAAGCATGGAATTGTAGTTCTTTTACAATGGTCATGGTTTCTTTTTTCAGTAAAAAAAAGAAATGAGGATTGGGCCCCTTAACAACAGCCGCCACAGAGAGAAAGAGAGAGATAGAGAGAGATGGAGAGAGAGATAGAGAGATATTCCATTGCATTCACCTACCCCGCTGGTGTTAGAAAATTGCATATCAATTGCAAAATAAGTACAATAAATTCTAGTTTCAAAGCAATTGCATGATACCATTACATAATTAACAATACCATGTAATGTTCGTTGCCTCAGTTTTACTGGATGAGTGATTATGGATTTGGTTGTTCCTTGATAAATATGTGATCCAATATTGTTTAGACTATAGCCATTACAACACTATTTCAAACCAAATCACATTTCAAGGTCATTGCAGCAATGTTTCAAACCAAATCACATTTCAAGGTAGTCTTCTTCAAGCAGACAAATCATATTGACTTTAATTTACTCTAATGTAAATCCAATATCAACACCAATAATTGTTTCATGGGTTGTGACACCATCTAGTGATATCAAACACTTTTCAACAAAGGTAATACAAACATAATCGCATTCACTACACACAAGAAAAATATAAATTGTTGCATATGTCCTAAAGTATCAACAATTTGTTATTGAATGACCATCGGTTCAGGCTTGACCATAATATGCTCTTGCAATTCTTGTAACTGATTGTTTTGGTGTATATCACGACGCCACAACTTTACATCATAATTCATCCCTTCCATATATACATCATACCTTTGGAAAAAAGTACAATTTGGACACCAGTAGTACATTCTTCCTAGGTTAGATCGGGAGCTTGATATACATCAGTTACATTGTAAGCTGCATCGTGGACAGGTTCGCCGTGGATATCCTTCAGCACTAGTGGAAATTGATGAAATGCTGCCTAGTTCAAAGGTCTAGACCTGCATCCCAATTTCATAAGAAGTAAACAAATGAAATTAATTATTTACCCCAGATAGCATGAAACAATGGAAAAAAAATTCTCACACTGAGTGCTTTTCTTTCAAGTCAAACAATAACAATGTGCAGATTAAAGAAATAAGCTTATTCAAATCAGATATGTTTGCAAGCAAACAATAACAATTTATACATGATGGGCATAGTACGAATGAGTAGGTACAAAAGAAATCATGAAATCATGTGGTATGGTTTGGTGATCCAATGGAAAGGCTAGTAGACAATACAAATGAGCAGCACAGAAATAGCTCAAGGTTTTGGAGAGAAACCAATGATGATATACATTTAATTAATATAGATATATACCTTCAAAAATAAGCTATAATCTCCTTATATATAACATACATAAGACGATGAATAAAATAAAGAGATTTCAATCACTAACAGATACATTCAAGCTAACTAGCAGCTAGAGCTAAGACAATAGCAATGGATGCTCCCATGGAGGGAATTGGTGAAGACATCAACACATGGTGAAACAGAAGTTACATGGTACGACATGATATCCAATTGCTAACATATTTTCCTCTTTAATACATAGCCTTCATTGACAACGAGAAAGAGTAGACACAAAAGATAAACAAACAATGTCGAAACAAATAATAGATCCAGAACATAGTCAAGATTATTCACTAGAACAAAAAGACTCTTTGAGAAATCCATTTATGGCTGGCAAGTCATTGCCTCATGCCAACAAATGCCTGAATGAGATTCCAAACAAGCAACTGAGATCAATAATGAATCTTGTAGTTTGCAATCACCTATGAGTATAGCATCTACCTTCATGCATGTCTAAGCTAGCACTTATTGAATGAAATGGCAGCTTCAATGAGATTGCTATGAGCACTAAACACTAGATTAGACACCATAGGCCTTGTGTTTTTGTAGTTCACATATGACATTAATAGCCTCAAGAAACTGATGTATCTATAAGAAAAAATGTCTCAACAAGTTGACCATGCCTAATTGATTTAGGAGTTTTACTAGTGAGACTGCTGTGGACATGTTCATTAGTAAATCTTTCTGGTTGGTAAATTTTGGTGCATGCTATTGTGTGTCCTTACCACAAGAATCACTTCTAGGGACCACAACCCATAGTCCCCAAACCACGCATTAAGATAACCCAAAATTCGCAAGTCTTATATAACTTACGAATATCCTCCAAAAAATCAGCCCATCACATCACACATTGTGCATAAAGTACATAACATACTCAAAATTCTTCACGTATGAATCAAATTCAAGCCCACATATGAATCAAATACTTTTCCATTGAAATATCAAGGATAATGTGAACTTCAACAGTAGACTTTTCCATTGAATAACAATGATAATGGGACAGCTAAGGCGTTAAAAAAAAATTCCATTGAAAAAGAAATAGCACGCCAATTGAATCTGAAACATGTATTTTTTTTTCAATTTTATTTTGGCCATTCGGTCACAGTTCAATTGAAGATTAAATCGTTGATTTTTGTGAAATCTGGTTCATTTGATTCATTATTCGTCAAAGAATTATATTTTTGGTTCAATTATTTGGATTAAAACCTAGTTTTGTGTAAATCTAGCCCCAAAATTTAGGATCTTTGGGCTCGATATTTTGAAAATCCAATACTAATAAAAATCCATCTCCAATTTTTCATAGCAAAAAACATATATTTATAGCATTAGAACAAAGCCATCTCCTATTTTTCATAGCAAAAAACGCAGATTTACAGCATTAGAACAAACCCATCCCCTATTTTTCATAACAAAAAACGCAGATTTACAGCATTAGAACAAACCCATCCCCTATTTTTCATAACAAAAAACGCAGATTTACAGCATTAGAACAAACCCATCTCCTATTTTTCAAAGCTAAAAAAATAGATTTAGAGCATTAGAATAAACCCATCTCCTATTTTTCATAGGCAAAAACGCAGATTTACAGCATTAGAACAAACCCATCACAGGGTTTTCAAACCAATAACCCAGAACTACAAACCCATCACAGGGTTTTCAAACCAAAAATACATGAATAATTCGTTCTATTCGTACCTCTGTGACTACGATTAAGATAGGGCTTTCACTTTTGTTCTCGTATGAGAGGCGCAGAGAGAGGGAGACGTCAGTTTGGTAGGGCCTCCCCTATACTTCTGGTTTAGAGAGAGAGAGGGCATGAGGGTGCATTAGGGCTCCTGTAGTTTGTGAATGATAGAGAGGAAAATGGAGAGAGAGACTGTATTTCTGGTTTAGAGAGAGAGACGGCACGAGGGAGAGATAGGGCTCATCTGGTTTTTGAGAGAGAAAGTGAATGGTAGTTGATTTCGTGTGGTTTAGAGAGAGAGAGGGAGTGGATGCATCGGTAGAGAGAGAGATGGAATATGAAAAGGGTTTTAAGCAGATAGGCCCGCCACAGTAGGTGGAGTGTAGGCGGGAGTTTGCAGGCCTAAGCTGTCTCCATTTCAAATGAAGTTCCCTTCTGCAATTAGAGTTTCATTTTTGAAATGGTGACCCTTCATTTTAACCCCGTCTATCCGGGCCGTTGGCGTACCCCAACCAAATACGCGAATGGG